TGATACAAATAAACTTTAGGGTGGTACTGCCCTGGAGTTTATTAATCACATTATTGTCAAGAAGAGTGTTAAAGCCTTTCACTTATCTAAAGCCTTCCAACTTATTCAAATTACCTTCACTTGCGAGAACTCCATAGTTATGAAAGAAAAATTTTATTGAGTCTGACACTTATTATCAGGGTTGACGTTAGAGATGGATATTATAATATTAAATATAGGATCAACATTATCACAACACTTTCACTCAAGCAACCACAATTCAATTACTGACTTAAAATGACAACCAACTGCTAAGGCTGGATTCCTATTTTTTTTTAGTGTCATAATAATAGGATTTCTATTCTTTGAATGTGAAAAAATGAATAAACGAATATTCAAATAAGAATTTGAATTACGAATAGAAACTCTACAATCAATATTTTTAAATTTATATTTTAATTGATAAAGAATTTAATTATATTAAAATTCCTGTTTGTTAATACTAATACAGTCAGACCTCACTCATTTCAATAAATATATGAGACACCAAAATTTCCAATCATGTCAATTGTGTTTCAATAATTTTTAAAAATTCGTTGTAATGCAAATTTAATAAATTAATTATAACTCATTGAAATGAAGGCTATTATATTGTTTATATTAATATTAATAATGATAAAATATAATTTACAATTCATTGTTTTAAATTTAAACAATAAATACAACAATGACGAATGACAATAATTGCATTGTTGAAAATGATGATGCCTCTTCAATAACTTCTTCAACAGGCACAGTGTAATATGTTAAAAGAAGAACGAGAAGTGAAGTGTGGAAATGTTTGGCAGTTGTAGATGGAAAAGCCAAATGCAATTATTGCACTAGGTAAATATTTTCTTTGACTCGAAACCATTTATTTCCAAAGGAAACACTTGTTTTTTATTTTTTTCAATTGTTAATTCTATTTCATTAATTTTTTGAACAAATAACTTAAAGTTTTTCTTCAGATAAAAGAACTTCATCTTCCATAAATTCAACCTCAATATTTTTTATAGGAATATTTTCATTTATATTTTTTGTTTCATCATTTAACTTCCTATGTTTCTTTGGTTCAATGTATTTCATATAATGAGGATGACAAAGTTGATCATTAGGTTTTAAATAATTCACACTTTCATAGTCTGGATATTCCTTTAATTTGTGAAATGATCAGTGTTGTGACCTGAAACTCTGAGTTTAGGGAAAACCAGGAGCAGAAACCACCTGAAACTAGTTTAGGTTAATATTTTATGTTTATGTTTAGGTTTAGGTTTAGTTTTCTGCTTAGTGTAAGTTCATTTTCCAAATCATTTCGGGAAGCCAAAAGAGTTTCTGGTCACAACACTGGAAATGATAGGTCTGTTATTTTTCTGAACATAACTTGTGTATTTTTACAATCAACAATTGCACAAGGACCAATGTTTTGATTTTTTCTAAACATTATTTTATAATAATTAATATTTTGGGTTTTGTTTTAAAATGGTATATTAATAATTTTTAATTTTATTGTTTGAATTTGAATTTCTTTCCTGCTGGCAAAGTGTACTGTCAGTGAAGTATCCTTGTCAGTATTTATAATTTTTAGAGATTAAACAAGAATATCCTTGGAGTGTGAACATGAAATATTAAAATGTGAAAAGAAATCCTCTTGGAGTGTTAAATGTGAAAAGAAATCCTCTTGGAGTGTAAAATACGAAAATAATTCCTTTTGGAATGTTAAATGTGAAAAAGGAGTGTTAAACAGCATAGTGGATATCCTTATAATTGGTAATGATTTTCATTGATCATATTTTGATTTTATCACGCAAAAAAGCAAATTTGATTGGCCCAAATAAATTACACAAATTTTTAAATTTTATTTTTTAATGAAGCTTCAACTAAATAAATTCTTGTGTGTATCTTGCTAACCCAACATTTAACCAATTATGAAAAGGTGTGCAAGTTTTATCAAGTATATATTGGAAGCAAATTTTTATTTATCTTATTTGAGGCATGAACAATAGAAACAAGGCCAACATCTATCAATCATAAATAACATTTTTTATTAGCGTGTACTTATCTAATATGGGGCATGCTGCAACAAAATCAGACAAAGTGAACATTGGTATTACTAAGAATTTCAGGAATCAAAATTTAGTCATTCATCACAAATGTAATGCAATTAACAATTTTATAATGTTCCATTTTTGTTACCTGTCCTGTTTCTCAAGTGATATATAGTACTACTCCTATATAAAAATAGTTAATATGAAACTCATTTACATCAGATCTACTATGGAACCCAAGAATTACAGCACCATTAGAAGTATTCTAAAAAAGGAACAAGGTGAAAAAATTGCTCCTTACATTTTTAAATTAGCAGATACCAAATCTTTGCAAACATATTTAGACAAAGAAAGGATTACCTATGAAATTTATCAAGAGGAAAGAGTTTTCAAAAGAGTATTAGAGAATTCTAGTAAAGAATCAAGAAAAAAAAGAAAACTGGCAGAATAACAGATAATTACTTTTTTTCAACTTTGTTAATTTTTAATTTTCAATCAAGGTCATTTTTTAGTTTCTTTAACTTCAGTTTGAGCAGTTAGTTTAGTCTGCTGTTTCTTTAACTGTTCAACTTCACTTTCAAGTCTTTGGATTTTATCTAATAATTCTTGCTTCTGCTTATTATGCCAGTCTTTTGAAACTTCTAAGGCTTCCAAATGAGAACTGATTTCTTCCTTAGCACTGGATAGTTGCTGTTTTAAGCCTTTATTCTGCTGTTCCAATCTGCCAACATAACTCTGTGCCATTATTTCTGTTATGGTTGGGGTTTTGACTGGTTCATCTTTCCTTAAATCACAAAAACAATCTATCCTGTTTCTCATAATTCTACCACAATCATTACAATGTGGCAAAGTATTATCATCAAGAGCTTTTTTACACTCAACACAAATATAAGCAATGTCATTGTAATCATTATTGCTTGTATTGTAAGATACTATTTTGTAAGTAGCAGTTAAACTCCTTTCTCTTTCAAAAGGACAGAAATTACAATGCCATTTATCTCCTCTCCTCAGCTCATCAACTTGGTATTCTAATTTCATTCTATTTATTCTTTTGCAAGATATAGGTTTCAAATTTTTCTCAAGTTGTTGCTTTTACTTGGCTAACTTTATTCTTTACTTTGTTAGTCAGGAGTTTAAATTTGTTTTCTTTCCTTGGTATAACTGCTAGTTCTTGAAGCTTCTTGTCTGCTAAATATTTCTATATTTTCTAAAACTTCTATTTTTCTCAAAGCTTTTTCTAAGTTGTCATCTTTTTCTTTACTTTGTCTTATTCTCCACTGTTTAGCTACTTCAAGAGCCTCTAAATGACATTAAGATGTTTCCTCCTCTAATTCTAATGCTTCTTCCAACTCTTGATTAATTTGCTGTAACTCAACAACCTTTTTTTCTAAAACAGCATTCTTTTCTTTAATTCCTCTTTTTCTTGATAAGTAAAACCAAAAGCTTCTTCATAATTTAATGCTTCATAACCAAAACTTTTAACAATGTTTTCAGGAGTGAATTTGTTGCTAAAAACAACTCTTCCAATTTCAATTCCATTCTTTTCTGGATAACTTACTCAACCATTGTCAACTCAAGTAAATCTTTCTAAGGTTCTTAAACTTGTTCCAGTATATTCTGAACTTTCAGTAAGACTGTGAACTGCATTTCAGATTTTTAGCTTAAAGTTTTCTTCTTTTTCAGCTAATTGCTTTTTCAATAATTCTATTTCATTTATTAGTGCTTTATTTGTTTGTTGTTGTTTGTTCATAATGTTTACCATGTTGGAAGACATTTTATTAAGGTGTACAAAAAAATTCTCCTTATCTTCCCCTCAGACCAGGCTTGGCTGTTACCATATGAGCATTGATCACTGATGGCACTTGTGTGATGTTCACTTTGTGTTATCCTGACCTATAGGACAAAGATGGGTATCTGAAACTGGTTTGCAATTCGGGAGGTTGCATCCTAGGTTATTGTTTTGTGGGACACACTAGAACTGCTTTGAAAATCTTCCAAACTAATGTTTGAGTTTCAAAGTGCAAATCTAGATGCACTCATTCACAAGCAAAAGTTTTGACCTAGGGAAGGAGACTGGTTGGGCAAAAGCCTAGATCCCTACCTACTTTGAAAAAACAATAAATCTGGTTAATCAAATAAAAAATTCATCAAGAAAACAAAAAATTCAAAAAAATAATTAATTTATACAAAACACAATCCATTTTATGATATTTCTCTTGTTAGATTCCACTTTGATGCAAAAGATCAATGTAATCTAATGCTCCACATAAGCCAGCTCGCAAGCCAAATAATTTCTTTACCTAGAAGTAGGATCATTGCAAGAAGCTTTTCAGCCTTTCCTTGGCCAGGCACTGTGAGGGAAGATTAAGATTCAAATGTCCTTGACAATGATGCAGTTTCAATAAACTCCAGAGCCTTGCCCCCCCCCCCCTGAAAATTTAATTGCATCATCTCATCGGGAGAAACTTGGTCAGATTAGCCTTTGTACATGAAGAACATAAGAGAATGATTGTAATGTCTAAAAGCAATGTATGTGCTTTAACATCTGTAAAATCTCCATAATCAAATGTCACATATTGAATTGTTTCTTCTGCAACAGTCAGTTGTGTTGCCTGACATTTTCTTATATTTAATATTAATATTATTAGTATTGATTTAAGGCAAAACAATACCAATTATTTATTATCTTATAAATACCTAAATAAATGACAAGTTCATCCATGCATTGATTTCAACATTATATATTTTATATAAGTAATAAAAGATACATATCAATACATTTATAAAAACAATAAAATAAATAAAAACCGTGTATCTCTCACAAGAACATACCATGCTAAACAACATCTACTTGTATAACCCATACATGTAAATAATTTTTTTTTTGTGTACATCATTAATTTAACTATTTTTTTTCTTTTTTAAATTTTTTAAAAAATGCACAATACAACAAGAGAAAGAACAAAAAGAACAAAAGTATATTCAACAATAAATCAGTAAGTGTTATTATTAATCAATTTATTGATCTGTGACATGACCATTGATGCATGTTTCACCCTTTAATTTTTCACTAACTGACTTTTTTAAAAAAAAGAATAGAATCACAAAATGATAGAAGTAAAAGAAACAACCTTGGGGAGTGTCATAAGTAAGCATTAATTTTTAGTAATTACTCACATATGAAACAAAATATCATAAAGTGTACATGAAGATGTTGAAAATGGTGATTCTGGTGATAATATTAATGGAGTTGTCAATGATGTTAACGAGGTATGCCCTTTTGATTGATTTTTAAAGTTATGATGTATTTTGAATCAGATTTCTTCACCAAAATATTTTATTTATATAGTCTAATGGTGGTAATTCGGGAAAAATCAAACTAGTAAGTTTAAATCTGTCAAATAACTTTGCAGCATATCATTTGCCCTAAATCATTTTCCTTTTTCAATGTGATAGACTGATAAAGAGAGATTGTTATCTAATGAAAAACAAAATGATGAAAGCTGGACACTATCAACTGGTACAAATGTCTCAGAGATATTAGAAAAATGCACAAAAAAGATGACGAAAAATAAAGAATTCCTATAGTTGGCTCGGTCTAAAGACCTCCCAAATTTTGAGCAAATTTTAAAAGTATAGAAGTCATTTTCTGTCCTACATTTTAAAAAAATAGCGTTATTAGTTGATAGAATAGGTCTTTAGTTTTAATGTAATAACGAGATATTCTCAAAAAAATTCTTTGTTGTAGAGTTCTATTCTTTTTTAAAACATGTACTTTACTATGCTCGCGAGGAATTTGTCCACTAAGATCATTGCTAAATTTAGACTATTTTTTGATCATCCTTACTAAATTTAGACTAATACTCGACCATCATATCTAAATTTGGCAGTAAGGAAAAGAATTTTTTAACCAAAATCACGTGAAACCCTTTTTTAAAAAAATTTATTGCATTTTTGAACGAATCACGAAATCGATATTTTTGAAATTTGTCCACGTGGCGCAGCAATAGGAGGTCTTTAGACCGAGCCAATCATATAGTAAGTGTAAATAATAGACCGAACAATTTTTTATGTACATTGCTAATTTTTAGTTTTCACATTTTAAATCAGCCCAGCATATTTTGGCATTGTAGATATACTGATGAATATACACATTTCAAGGATATGTTTTCTAATGAAGAATGGGTTGAAATGAAAAATGATTTCAAACTAAACTTGAAACTTGAAGATCTATTAAGCGTCAGGAAATTAATTTAGTGTAAACTTGCATAAATCTTACAATGCTGACATAATATTGCATAAATCTTACAGTGCCGATGTAAGTTTTACACTTTTTTATTATTAAACTTACAATTGACATGTGTAAAATTTTTTTATATTCTCCAGATGGAAGGATGAAGAAGATCCGCTTTTTCAATTAATGGATAAGATCACACAGGTTTGATTTGAATATTCATTATCATTTTTATTAATTCCAAGTATCAATATTTCAACAAAAGCTTATTCTTCATGATCTAGATAATTGATGAATCACCCAATGATATAATCACAGCAATTGAAAAAAATTGTATAATAGTTGTAAGTTGCTTGTCTGTAATTGTATATACATACAGCCATTGATAAAATCAAATATATTCTTAGATTCATGTTTTTGCATTTTTCTGTATAAAGGATAATCAAAAAATAAATGCTATTAGACGACTTGCAAAAAGCTTAGTAAGTTATTTGTTTTTTTTTTTAATGCATTTTATGTGTTTTTCATTTGTACTAAACTGAATATATTTATTTTGCAAAGTATTTTCAATCTTGATCATATGCCAAATTCTGTCAGTGAAAATTATTTTTCAAGCTCATTTACTAATATGATTACAAAAGGAATACTTACATTTGAACAAAAATTTTCCTATGATGAGTAAGTTTACAGATTTCTGTTATCTCATATTATAAATAAGTTGTTCATTTAGCAAATGGCATTATTATTTTAAGAGGAGAAACTGATAGTTTGGCTTCGAAAATGGTATTAAACCTTAACCAAAAACCTACAGATAGAGGCATTATTGGCCAGAAATGTGATTTTCATATACAAAAGGATGGGTTTGAATATTTGATTGGTTTGCATGCTGGTGGGTTACCTGAAGCTTGTAAATCAAAAAAATGGAATGATAGAGTTGACTTGGCAGTGGCAATGAGGGATGTCCTGTTAAAAGAAGGAATTGAAAATAACGGGTCTGGGACACTTTACCAACACCCACTTTACTGACAAGTAAGGTTTGTATTCATGGATACCATGAATACCATTAAGGGGGTTACACACTAATAAATCAGCAAAAAATCCCTTAAAACACTTGATTTTAATAGTGTAACCCTGTGTGACCTCCTTACGGTATCGGTGAATACAAACCCTACCAACAACACGCGGGGTTACATTTAATCTCTACACAATCAAACAAACTACAGTCAAACCTCGCCACAGCAGACCTCGCCACAGCGGATTTCTTGTTACAACGGATTTAAATATTGGCCCCTTTTTTTATTAATTAAAAATGTTTGCC